CAGTTATAAATTCCAAATCCTAAAAACTTAATGCTTGAAGGAATCTTAGTTTTTAACTTTAAGAAAAGAGAATGAATATAGGGTTGACCAGAAAGAGATAAGGCAGCTTGTACAAATTACAGCTTAACACAGACAGTATGGTGAATAATGAAAATATATTGTATCAAAAAAAATCTCAGAGCTCAGTTTCCCCAGTGAAAGGAAACCACTATTTAATTCTTAGTGAGTGTGTGTATGTGGGAGAGAAAGAGACAGAGAGAGTGAGTCAGTCAGTGGCATTTGTCATTAAGCTCCTGTAGATTCCTAAAGGTATGTACACACACTTAAGTCTTTGAAGGAGGTGACTCTTCAACTAAATTCAGTTACTTAATCAAGGAATATTTATTGCATGCACACATTTGTCAGACTCTCTTATAAGTTGCTGAGGACATGTCAGAGAACAAATAAAATCCTTGCCCTCAGAGACCGTTACAATAACACTGTTTCAGCCACAAAATCTGCCTAACCGAATTTTAACTGTCAACTTTCTAGTTCTCCAGAGAAATCATTTTGAAGAAAAGAAAGATCCAATACACTCTTGATCCCCTTGGAGGGTTTTCAAAGACACTCTTTATAAATCATTATTCCTTTATGTCTGAATTATAAAATGCTTCACAATGACATGAAAGTATACATGGATAGATTACATTATCCACACATCACAAAGTAGGTCTCAATTTTACCTGAAGGGATGACATTCAGTAAGACACTTCCAAATATCTTTTTAAAGAGTAGGACATTACCACAAATAGTTGTCTCTGTGTTACTCCAACTTAATCTTGTCTATAGATTTTTCCTTTTTTTATCTATACTAACCTGAATTGAGATGAGCAGCTTCCTTCAAACAAGACCTTATCTGTTTTTTTTACAAACTGCATTCCCTAAACTAAAGTCAGAGATGCTCAATTTAAATGTGCATTTATTGAAAGCCTGCTGTGCATGACATATGCAATCGGGTTTTTCCTCACCAGCAGTCAGCCTCTTGTGGTTGCTATTACCTCTATCTTACAGATAAGCAAACAAGCTCAGAAAGGTTAAATGGTGCGTGTAATACACGTGGTCAGGTGGAAAGCTGAGTATTCAAATTCACCTAAGATATCAGAATCCAAGTTTATTGAATTTCTTAGTCAACTTTAAGAACCACATGAAAAAGTAAAATTTATAAAGTGGCAAGAACTTCCAGAGATGGTTTCCACCTCTTAAAATCAGTGAAAATGGTTATTCTTAGGATGCTTTCCAAAATGAAGACAGTTTCAAATTGTTTTTCTAATTGAAAGACTATGAACATCCAATGAGCATCTCTTCACCTTGACTATCTGATTATCACCCACAGGCATGACATCAAAATAACAATATTTAAACAGGAGAGCTCTTTTTCCCTCAAAACAAATCAGAACACAGGACTGCTATGATAGAGAATGAAATTATAAGCCGAGACTATAACTGACAGCCTCAGAAAACCACCGACAATTTGGAGTTGAAAAATTTAAATGCAAACAGTAAGATGTCTATTTCCACATGAAATGTTCTCGATCCCACCCACACACACTTTTGGGCTTATCTACAAAGTGAAAATATTAACTAACATAGGACTCCTTATAGCTAGCAAGACTCTAAATCCAAATTGTGGACTTGGGGTCTTAATGTTAGTAACAGCATTTTATACCTTCCAATTTAAGTTTAATGATTTTCTAGAAATTGGTCATTATTTTGTGCATTTCAGTTATAGACAATGTAACATGTAGCAGAAATGGCACACTTAATATACAAGAGTTATCTTCTGCAGCTTTAGACCTAAAGTGCTCATATCATAAAAACAGCATTACCCACACCCCCCTGCAAAAAAAAAAAAAAAAAATCTCACTTAAGTAATTTTTTGCTGAGACTTATCTTTCAATGCTTTAAGGAGAAAAACATCACTTAGTTTACAATTTGAAGCAGCTTTTTGTATAATAAATAAATGATAGTGGCAGCGTATTTGTCCTGATGAGTCTCCCAAAGAATCTGGCAACTACTGCCAGAGTAATTGCACATTCCCTAGTTCTCAAGCGAAACCACTAGAATCGTTAAAGTGCTTGACCAGCTTGTATTCATCCACAAGGTTAATCCAAACTGATTTGAGAATAACCACACAGGCAGCCATCCAAACAGAGCCTTTCATGCTTGGAACTTTACATAACATTGCTCAAAAACATTCTACAAATCAGACCTTGCCATTCTACCTCACAGACAACGGAGGGTGAGAGGCATTAAAAACATGGTCCAAAAGGTACCACCCCCCACGAAAAAGAGCACGATATTGGAAAAGGTAACTTCAAAACCTGTAAAGCCAGCAGCTTTCTGGGCCTTGAGTCCTCTGCAGAACCTCAGACTACCACTACCTACCTACTCAAAAGGCTACACAGTAGGAACCAACCTTGGCTTTGACATCAACACATAAGGTAGGTTTCTAAGTCCCACCAAGGGAGCCCCATAGTTCCTCCATCAGTTCAACAAACAAGCACCCTAACTTGTAGGGCCAGCTCTGACTGCCAAACCCAAAGAGCTGAGCCCAGCTGAGCTGTAGGACTCTCTGAGTCTGAAGTCATTTCCCAGCCAGCAAAGCGATGTCATCCTGAGATGCTCTGTCACCTCAGACCTAAAGAACCCATATTGGAACTAGGTGGGAGGACTCGCTTCAAACTACCATTTCTAACAACTGCTACCCCCACCCCTCCACCACCCTTCCCTGTGTTCCTAGCTCCAGAAAAGTTTGCAGGTGTGTGCAGGGAGCACATCAGAAACGTGACCATGGGAAAGAGGGGAATGCACTTGGAGGAGCAGTGAAGAAATGGATGTCATAAAAAAGAAAAAAAAAAAAAAGAGCCCCTGATTGGCAGAACCAGGATGATGGCAAAGCTGGGTTTCCCACTGAAAGCCCGGCCTTGAACTCTGCAGTCAAAGCCTTCCCAGCACACATTTCCTTGTTCCTTGTCAGTGGTGCTAAGTTGCCACAGAGCAAGAACTTAACATAACTCCTGTCAATTTATGACCACAAGTGGTGATTTCACTGTGGCCACGCAAAGCAGAACAAGCAAGCAGACAAACTGCAGAGATTTATAAGGTAGGCAGCAGCCTACACGGGGCTCAGGGGAGGGGGTGGGGGGCCCTGCATGGTTATTTTCATAGGTTGGTAAATTTACTGCCTGATCTGTGTCCCAACAGGAAAACATGTGTCCAGAAAAAATTAGAGAAGTGCTCAGCTGTAGGCTAGTTTAGTTAAGGAGTAATGAAAAGGATAAGAATAGATGATGTGAGTGAAAAGAACAGACTCAGAGGCTTTTAGCAGGGTGTTTCTGGTTTCTATTATCACCTCCCTTCTATAAATCTAACTCCACAGAGACTTAATGACTCTCCAGGGACCACCACTCACTGCAGTAAAAGTGTCCAACACCAAGAAGGGTCTCTGGAGACAGCCTTTCATCTCCTCTGGGATATGCCAGGGCTGTGGCTCTTACAAGTTTTTAATAGTATTAATGCTAGGGTTGTCTGAACTCTGCCATTAAAGAAAAGAATGAAAAAAAAAAAAAAAAGCAAAACAGACTGAATATTAGAGATGGGCTACCCTCAAGGTCCAGGATGTTAGAGTTTATTTCAAGCCCTCAGGACAGTCAGCTTCCTTTGACCCTTCTAGATAATATATCAGCTGTGGGGACTGAAGTAACCACTCCATGTGTGGTCTATTGATCCCAAACTGACTTCTCCCCTGTTGTAAGGCTTGTATGAGTCCCGTGTGTCCAACAGCTCAGCCATTCGCCAAAGAGTTACAGCTTCTCTAGTCCTCAGTTTCCTCTTTTATTGGCATCAGCTCTCTGAGGAGTCTTTTTACTCTGAAGTTATATGGGTTTATGATTCTGACAGAAGGCCCCAGAGAGGAATACAGAAGGGTGAAGAGGAAGAGTTTTGTTATAGAAGAAATAAAAAGCCAGCTCAACGACCCAGGCAGTTATGGGGAAGGAAGGAGATGGAAACCTGGGTGGCCCCACAGGCCTGGGACACTAAGCATCGTTTTTTATTTTTTTTTAACTGACTTTTCCTTAAAACTACACTGGCATAGGGCAAGTATTGGTACTCAACACATAGATCGTTCCTTCAGCACCGTTATCTATTACCACAGGACACTTGACTTGTGTCTCTTTCTCAAAAGCCCTGAACTGGTGATGCTGGGAAGGTTTCTGGCAAAATCCAAGTCAAATGCTCATCTAGAATCTCTTATGGCCTTTCTGTTAACCACCGAAGTGGGGAGTTAGAGGGGAGTAGGTGGGGGAGCAGAAGGCCCGCCTCCCCTTCTTAGCAGGTGAGAGTCTAATCACCTGAAGACCACACCTGAGTATGTGCAAGCCAGAGAGCCTGGGGAAAGTGCAGCCACCTCTCTCTACCACTTCCTTCCTCATATTCACTCTCCCTCCCTCCCTCCATCCACCCACCAGTCAGAAACCATCCTTCATCTGCTTGGTTATTATCATATTTTTGTGTTAATACATTCTGTTGATCTGCAATGTCAGGTTGGATAATGAAATTTAAAGTGGGTCCCTTCGATTTCCAATGGTTAAACATGTTGGCATCTCACTCCAGGCTGCCATGCAACTTAAATGCATTCGAGAGTGTCAATCACGTAACACAGGCACCCCACACTGCAGCAGCTTTCTTGGGGAGATTTTTTTTCCCTCCCCTGGTGAACATTTGCAAAGGCATTTGGCCAGGATGCAGACAACTGCATCATGATAGCAAACCAGCTTATCAGTGAGCTCAGACTGATGGAGCAAATGCGTGGGCCACCCTCGTCCTTATTTCCTGGCCCCCAACAGCTAGAGCTTTAAACATTAAATAAATGGGGTGTGTGGGGGGGGATACAGGGTTCAGGGAAACTTAAACCATGGGCATTTTCTTCACCAATAAATAAGAAAATAAGGATCACTCACTGTATTTTAGACTGAGCACAGCAACATCCGGATGGGAATCCAGGTGGTTAAGAACTAGCAAACACGCATGATCTTGACACCAAAAAAAAAAAAAAAAAAAAAAAGAGGGGGGGGGAGAGGAGGAGGTTGATGAAGACAAATCCAGCTGCAATTATCCGTCAATTTTAGTCAACATAGGCACAAATCCAACTGTGCTCTGCTGGTTTCTTTGACCCAATCAATGCCTCATTCTACCGCGGTCAACTTTTCTTCTGTGAAATTTCTTTGCAGATGTATTATTAATTTCCTCTCTTGTGGGAAATTCAAAAAGAAAAGAAAACACCACCGTATCAGGTCTTTACTTTCCTAAAAAAGCCCCAAACTTTTCATTCCACAAATTATCTCCTTGGCTTACTTTCTCCCTTAGAGAAAAATGAACATACTTTTTCTTTGTGGATCCTCCGCTCTCCATTTCCAATCATCCTTTTGGGGAGGGGGGGGCAGCTGTTTTATTATTTATTTATGTCAGAACACACCAACCCCCGCGGGTCTGACACTGGTTTATTTCATTTTTCAATTCTCCCTGTATGCACATAGACACATTTGTGTTAAGATCCAGGTCTCACGGGAAAAAGCTTCCTTCTTCTTTCTTGAACAATCAGTTTATCCACCGCGTTCCATTCCAAAAGAGAGCTGCGTCCCGCATCCTTCATTTTTGCAAGGTACCCAACCGCCACCGCCACCGCCACCAAAAAGTCTCATTTTACATCTTGGATTCCTCTCCCCGATCACCCCCCTTCGAGGAATTTGGGGATCAACTCCCCCCACTCGCCACCCTTCTGGCCGGCCCCTTCTCCAAAGATCTGATTAGATTTCTCATCACAACCCAGTGCGCAATTGGATTTTTGATTTCAGCCACCCGGCCAGCCACCTTCCCCTCTCCCTCCAAACTCCCTGCTATATCCTGTCTCCTTCTCTCTACCGCCTCTGCAATTTCATAATCTCACGTTAAATGGAGTGCGGGGGGCGGGGGCGGAGGTAGTGGAGGAAAATTTCAAGGCTCCGTCAGCTGTCAAGAAGAAACCCATTCCTCTCCCACCCACCCCCCCCCCATCCGCTACTTTTTCTTTTCTTTTCTTTTTTTTTTAAGGCTATGGGTGGCTCTCCTCTCCTCTGTCCCCGCCCCCACCCCGGCACCCGGTCCAGCTCCTCCAGGTGTTGCAGAACTCCGCGAGCAAGGCCGGATCACGGGGGAGACGCGTGACGCGGTCCCTCGCCGGTGGCCCCTGCCAGCCCCCGGGTCCCCTTCTCCTCCATCAGCGCGCAGCGGATCCGGAGGCGCCTCGGCGAAATAAGTTCAAATTGGGCTTTTATTTCAAATGGGGAGGGCGAGGTGAGGGGACCGGCGGGGCGTTAGACAAATTAAAAAGAATAATTAGAAAAGGGAAAAGAAAATGGAAAACGGAACGAAGGCGGTTAAAAAAAAAATCTTAATCGCTGGCTCCTCTTATCCTTCGCGAATGAAACTGCAGTTTTGATCTCATTCCCAGCTGCGTCGGGTACATTTTAGAGCCACAAGTTGGTTCCTCTCCGCGCAGACCTTCGCGACGCCGGCTAGTCCAGGGCGAGCAGACGCGTTTTCGGGCGCGCAGCGGCCCCGCGCAGTCCCTAGCGCCATCGCCCAGGCTCGGGGCTCCCCGCGCGGCAGCAACCTGGGTCCCCTTCCATCCGCTTCGGCTTGAACTCTCTTCCTCCCCCTCCTGCTCCGCTTTTCCCTCCTTCACCCCAAATAAATGTATGCGCTCCCGGTGCCGGCGGCAGGTCCTGCCAGTCTCTAGGCTTTTTATCCGCCGGTCCCACGTTCCGACGTTTAGGGTCCTACCTCCCCAAATCTCCTCTCGGACTGCAGTCCCCTACCCTCTTCGGCCCCTCTTTCTTTCCCCCTTTCCTTCCCCTTTCTCTGCTTGTGATCAGTAAAATACAATTACCCAATTACCTCCCATCATCTTAGCACTGATTGGTCAATTGCATTAACACTTGAAGTCAGGGAAGACGGGATTGGAGCTTCTGCGGCGTGGCACCGCTGCCCCCTGCAGGGCAGAGCCAGAACCGCTGCGTTCCGGAGCAACCCCCTCTCTGAGGGGGTTAGGAATAGGCGAAGAAACTCAGGAGTTGTGTGGGAGAAGTTGCCAATTTTTTCTAAAAACCTGCCTCTTTGCATCCTGAAAGCGAGGAGTTTGAGCTACAAAGGGAAAGACACTGAAATTAAATCGCCACTAGGATTCAGAAATATCACCAAACACACCAAGCTGTTGCTTGCAGATTGTTAGGCAAGGGGGCTCTGCCCCTCCCCTAGTCAGGCAGGCAGGTGACTAAGTAAGGATTAATCCTGGGCTATTGCCTGGGAAGGCTGATCACAAAGAATCCAGGAGTAGCTGAAAAGCTGTTTGGAAGGGAGCGGGTGGCCTAGCGGGATAATGTCACCGGGAGAAAGCGCTGTACGGTGAGATAGGAGCTTTCAGCCTAGGCAGTGTTGCAGTAAATTGGCCTGTTCAGTTTGTACAAGACATCCAGGACAGCTTGACAACTCAATTCCAACATCCCTCCTCCTGGATGTGGGCTTCTCCATCAGCTCACCTTAGGATGGCACATTTCAACTTCCCAGCGTGTTTTAGAAAAATGAGGGGGGTCCCTAAAAATTTATATTTATTTTGGTTTCTTCTCCACTATAGAATGGTCAAAAGACCTTTCATATCTGTGTCACCAAGAACTATATAATTATCATGAGGCATAAATCGGCATATTCATTTTATGACATTAAGGTATGTGACCTTGAAATATGAAATGGCTAAAATGAGGAATAATAATTTCAGTAAGACAAAATTACATATGTTGGAGACAAATTAGTATTCCTCTGTTTCAAATTCTCTGATTAACCATCTTCTAAAGATGATCTTTGTTTTTGAGAGATCAGAGTATATACTTGGTTTAAAAAATAATTTTAGACAAATTGAGTAAATCATAGTGAGAATTGGCATGTGCAGAAAGGAAAAAAATTACTAAGGAACATCAGAGGTATATCCAATTATATATATATATATATATATATATATATATGGGGGTGGGTGAGTCTTTCTTTGAAGGTTTTCGAGTTTGGTTTATTATCATTTCCCCATCATTTGGGAGAGTTTGGATATAGATATACATGGTCTCAGATTGTAAAACTGTTGAGGGTTAATGGCATTGCTTCTATTTTGTAATAAGTGCTGTTTTGATTGATTCAAAACACTAGTGGGCAGTTGACTATAGCTTTAATTTATCTTTTGAATTGCTTATCCTTATATGCCAATTATAGCCGATTAGTTAATAAATCATTAGAAGTTTATTCACCTGTTTCTCAAGATGGCTTCAAAGGATCCTACCTGGTGTCTCTAAAGTAAGCTAGGAACCGTGTGCAGTACAAAATTTCTTGTTGGAGACAGTGACTGTAATTTGTTCTTCAGTGCTGCTTATTAGCTACTTACTGGACATCTTTAAAGCCTTTCTGAATGAATTAATTTATCAAAGAAGACGGGAAGGATCAGTGCTACTTAGCCAAAACATGAAAGGAAAGGCTTCCTATTGTTCTTTTCCTTCCATTCAGTGGTGACAATTGCTTTTCTCCTATCAGTTATTCCTGTATACTGTATGATCTTGTCTTAATCATGTGACTTCAGTACTTGATTCAGACTTATCCAGTGATTACTGAGCATAGATGGCATGGCCTTTTGCTGACTCCCCATTTATATCACTTTGTTTAAAATTCAGAACAGCACTAAGAAAGATTTTAAAGTTGGGAAAAGTTAGCTGAATGCAACACAATGAGTAAATGAAACAGTGAAGTTTTGAATTCAGATCTACCCAATTTAAATTTTTAAAAGTTTCTCTACACTTAGGTTTTAGGAATGTTAAGAAACCATAGCAGTCATGAGCATGTAGCTGGCATTATCAGCACTGAATCTCAGAAGGGCGCGGGGTTGGCGTTATCCCGTTTGTCACTGAAAAACTTAATCAAAGAGAAGTGGAGCAAACACAAAACTGTCATACAAATACACATGCATTGCTAATATTTATTGGTTGCCAGGTGCTACTTTCAGGATGCAAATGAAATTTCTTGTATCCCTCTCTTGGTTCTTCAAATAAGCACTAGCATGCACACTTCCTGTTTACAGGAGAAAGACCTAAATGATGGAGTAACTCACCCACCTGGCTTCAGACACTATCTTAAAAAGCTTAGCTAAAATAGAAGGACTTTGGTGGGAATGAAGGGCTGGTCATCTTATAATCAGAAAAACAAAGTAACAAATAGAATGAATTCAATAAAACAGAAGCTATGGATGTATCTATTTGAATATTCATTTGTTTTAACAAGCTACAGGCTACTCTATTAAGTATAAAACACAAGATTTGAGTCTTTATCTTACAATTTTGGGATAAATATTCCCTGTTCACTCCCAAGTAGATTAAACAGGGACCAGAATATTCTGTGAGATAACTATATCAAGGTTACCTCCATAGTCACACATAAGGACATATGAATTAATTTATTTAGATCAACTTAATATGTAAACAACTTTAGTGACAAAATGCCATATTGAGTGCAAAGGGTGGTATGACTTACAATATTAATATATGCCTCTTTGGCATAAGATTATTTTAAAGAAATAACAGGAGCAGTTCTAAAAACCAATATGTTATCCTTTTATAAGACATTTACATTTATAAGAGATCTCCATTTTTAAGGATGTCTCCCATCTGTAACAGGAAGTGGAAGATGACCAAATTTCTACAAAGCATTACCAGTGGAGATGGTGTTGACTTAAATCTGCACAACTATTCCCTGTTTGCTTTGCCTAATAACCTTCCTCCCTTCAACACCTTTTATTTTTAAGTAAAAATGATATTTAAGGTGGTGTCTTTGTAACACAGGCATCATGTTATAAGGGGAAGTTAACATGTTTCTCACCCCACTTAACGAGGGGCCAAAATAAGGGGCCAGGTGGGTTTAGAACACAGACAGTAGGTAGGCTCTGGGGAGACACAGGAAGAAGGGCTGGCTTGCTTCTTGGCTTTGGAGTTGCACTAGAAACTTGGGGAGCTTAGGGGAGACACATGAGGAGATGTGGGGAGGGTGACAGTGGCAGCTGTTACCTTGATTTGTGCTTCGATGTTGTTTTTTCCATCCCAAACTTACCTGTCTCTTTTTGTCCCTTCTTAAATCTCCCCACCAGGATGTATCTAAGATTTGCAGCAAGATTTTGGATCTTAGCAGCTCTGTTTCAGGCTCACCATGTTTGACTGGGCATTTACCCACCAGGGGATGGGTAATTGGGGGTATATTATTATGACACAAATCTCCCTTTTTCTGTTCTCTATGCACACTAATTCTATAAAAGTTCCTTCAGACTAAGTCTGCTTTGCTTTGGGGCACACAGACGGCCTGACCCTTTTAAAGTGGGCAAGTCTGGGGTTTCAGGGTGCTCCTCAGTCCATGTGCCACAGCGAAAGACTTTCAAGGATTTGTTTGGTTTCTCTGAGATCTCCACACAAACAGGAGATATACATGCTATTAAATTTCAGTCTTTTTTCATCCTGTTTATGTGGTTTTTATATTATGGCTAGAGGAGGGAAGAAAAGAATCTCAGTCATGAAACTAGGCTAGAGGGAAAATGTTTTTTCTTCACTTAAATGGGAACTTAGTGCTGTGTCAGGCTACTAATATTCCAAGGATGTTGTATTTTAGAACTAGAAGATGTCCTAACAGCCATTTATTCTTTACTCCTTGAAATAGAGATAAAGATTCTAATGTCAAGTAGCTCTGCAAATTTCCGCTCTTCTTTTATAGTAGCTTCCATGATGCTTTCTCCTTCCCAGCTCCCATTCCATATTGTCTTACTTTTCTGGGCTCTCATACTTAATTTTAAATAATAATAATAATAATTACCATTTAATCATAGCTTATGAGTGCCCAGCATAGTTCTAAACAAGTTACAGAAGTCATCTCATGCAATTGCCCCAACAATCTGCTAAAGTGGGTACAATTACCATCCCATTTTATAAATAATGAAAATGGAGTTAAAGTAAGACACTCAAAAAAGCAACAGAGGATACTTAACCAGAGACATTTTGCAGGGGTGGAGTGGGGAATGGGATCAAAAATGGGGGCGGTGGGGAGGGGAGTGCACGGGATTATGGTGATGGCACACGGGTGACTTGGTGATGGGAAATCCGCGGGGATTACAATTGAGATGGAAAAAAAAATGTAAACTGTTATAAAATAAAAAACAAGGAAAAAAAAGCAACAGAGGAAGGAATTTTAACTCAAGTTATTTTTCTTTAGAGGTCAGTTCAGAGAGATAAATTTGTAAAAAATATATCCTATTTTTACATATGGCAATGGACAAAGCTGATTTTCCTCATGGCAGATTGCCCCGTGAACTATAATTGATTCCATAACCTTATTATTATTATTACTTTGTATTTCTAATGCTTTGCACTAGTTGAATGAATGAATGCCTAAGATGATGGTAATAGGAAATCAAGTAGCTAAGAAAAGGAATCAGATAAAAATCACCACAGGAGACAGAACATGGGTCCACATGACTGAGGGCTATCAGAATTCCAGAGAATTCTGCCAAACAGAAACCGGACATCCCCTAAAAGGAGAAGGTAACAGAAACCTTTATGAAACAACAAATATCAACCTGCAAGGACCAACTCCCCAAGTCAGAAAAAGCCCATGGAAATAGGATACTTCTAGGACACAGACCTCGCCCATCCTGCCTGCTGCTCCTGTTAGCAGTGTATTTCAATACATCCACCTGTTCTGTTCTCTTTCTCTACTTTGTCTCATTCACCCTTGTGCCTCCAACTTCACCCTGATCTCCCCATAATACTTA